GACCTTGCATACGTATCCCCTTGATGCGTTGATATCGCCAGGCCCCTTTGGAATCACCATGGAGCATACACGGTGGACCATGCAACGCTGGGGAAACGTTCTGTTCACTGATGAGTCCAGGTTCTGCCTAGACTTCACAGATAAGTGTGCTAGAATAGAGAAAATAAGAATCCCTAAAGAACGCACGACATGACAAAATTGAAAATTTTGCAGGTTCGGTTTGATTGAGCCTCTTCCCGTAGCACCGGCTTAAACAGAATTCAACATTTAACATGAACTGGTACAATTTTGAATTTTGAAACATCTGTAGATGCGTTTCACATGGCGGTTATCATGGAACCTTCATTGTGACACGTAAGTGCTATTCCATGAAAAGCGACATATGGTCCCAAAGTAAAAAATTGCATGTGCCCTAAACGAAAAAACAATGGGCATAACTAAATAAAATGGTATTTTTAAAGGACATCAGAGGTTATGAAGCCTGCATATCACAGATAAGACTTCAAAAGACAAATTAAAAAAGCAGGCCGCATTTCCTAAGGGTGATTCAACAGTATTCTAGATAGAGTCTAGAGAAGACGAAGGGAACGGTTTCACATGACTGCTACGGATTTGGGTTAGTTACAATTACGGTGTGAGGGGGCATCAGCTTGGATGGACGAACCGACCTGGTTGTTCTAAATAGAGGCACATTGACAGGTCAGCGATACAAAGACGACATTTTAGACAATCAGATAAGGTTGTATGTTGGGGCATGAACTGGCCAACTCGCTCACCTGACTTAAATCTGAACACACGTAGAATGAGCTGCAGGTTAGAATTTCATTTCGTCAGCGGCAACCCAGAACTATCCAGGAGCTTGAAGCCATGTTGGTCCAAAAATGGGCAGTCATACCAGTTAGAACGATCAAAAACCTAAAAGAGAGTATGAGAAGGCGCTGCAAAGCTGTCATTGATAGTCAGGGGTCACACACGCGGTATTTAGTCCATAAATGTAGCAACTAAAAAAGCAAAAGGCAATTTTACAAATTTGGAAAACACGACGCATATTCTGTTATCTTCAAGGAGGGGGGCATCCTCTTCTCTAGCACAAAATCAGTGTAAAACTTTTGAATAGGCTTTCATTCGTCCTTCAGCTATATTGATAAATCAACATTCCAAACCTCCGTTAGCACGGCGTTAATTAAATATTCACACTCAAACATGTGATGCTTAGCAAAATTTGAGTAGTATTCATGTCTGACAATCGTTCGTGTTTTTGTTTTCTTTCTTTCACATATTTTATGAAAAATGCGCGTTTTATAAAGCTTCTTATCATTATGATATGATAATTAAATACTAAAAGACTGTTAAAATCTAACGCCAGTTAACTTATAATATTTCTATTATTTACACCTTTTTTGTTTATACCCTGTCACAACGAGAAACAAGTACGTACACCTGGCTTGGCGGGCAGATAAGATAGCGCTAATTGATTTATGTTTGCTTTTGCACTTCAAGTCCCAATTGTAACCAATAAACTATAAATCTTTGATATAACATAACGTATAGAATTTTTAAATACTCGTTTACTTGTTTAATCTGTTTAATAAGTATTCCACTGTGATAAATGAACATTGGTAACAAAATAATTTTAAAAATTGATGTCTTAACATCTGTAGAAGATGGTGATGACAAAACTCTAATAATACTAGCTTAAAGGAGACAAGGCATTATTTAAAAAATGACAACTACTTTTCTGCCTACAATAACCTAATATGAAATATTGAAAGATAACATCAAAGTTATTTATTAGTTTTAGAGCAAACGTGCATTAGTTATTTATATTAGAGCGACTGATATATCGACAACCAATTGACAAAGAAAATAACGAAATATAGTGGGGTTTGTTTGTTTTTCGTGTTTTTTTTTTTTTTTTTTTTTTTTTTTTTTTTTTGGTCTTCCGGGTTTGATGGTCGTCCGCTTTTGGTGGTCTTCAACCAGTAAGTATCAAAAACGTTACTCATTGGCCAATTTTACATGAACTATCTTTTTCATCTGTTGATTTTTGGCAATAAGTACAGTTATAGCGAAATGATATGTTCTTTTGAAGTCAAAATAGCACTATGTTTATTATATTTTGCTACTTTTAATATGGCAAAATTTTTAATTGATCGCTGCTTTGTCCATGTGACAAGCATCTAATATTCTCTTATAACCATTTAACTTATTTACACAATATAAATTTCATGCCCTTTCCAAAGACGTGAATATTTATTTGTTTCTCAAGCAGAATGTGCCACACTAATTTATAAAAAAAATGTTTGATTACTTTTAAATAGGTCTGCATTTGGGCCTATTTTGCCCCGCATATGCGTTGCTCTTGATATTTACCCCTGTAGTAGCTCAAAATACATACATGAGATTATATTTTTAAATGTTAATACATACCCTTTAATTACTAGTAATAACAGTGATGTTATTATGTGCCATTGTTAATAATTAAAATATTTGTTGCAATTTGTTTTTCTTAAAATAATTAAATAATTACAGTAATGTTATGTAATGTGCCATTTTGATACATAGCATTTGCCATTTTAAACAATTATTAGAGATGTTGTAATATGCTGTAATATTATTGTGATTCACATGTCATCTAACATGACCCTTGATTGGAAATAAAAGTTATTCTATTCTATTCTATTCTATGCCATTCTAAATATTAACAGAATTTTTGTAATGAAACTCGTGTATGTCTTTGGAAGACATTGGTTTCTTATGTCATTGACCTTGTCCAGGTCTACTAAAATTCCATTCTGTCCCACTAAGTACCCAACAATTGTGACCTGTTTTTGCTTTAAGACACACTTATTTTTATTCAATGTTACATAACATGCCTGTTCAAAACTGTCTTAAGTGTAGTCATGTTCGACCTCTCCGTCCGGATATCAGAACATCATAGGTCTGGAAAAAATATCCTTTAATGCCCATAAGTATTTGAGACATCCGTTTATGTAAGTATTCAGAACTACGAGATAACCGTATTCGTAAGCGATTTAACGCATTTCTCGAAATGGGTGTGATAAATGTAGTTAAGTTTATTTTCTTGAGCAAGTTTAGTTTGCAAAACATAAACTATTAGCGCACAATTTGAAAAATAGTTTGCTCCAGTTGAAGGACCGAAGCTCTTTTCTATCATCGGCAGAGGAAAGTTTTCACGTCGCACATTTATTTTGTACAACTGTGACAAAACAACACATAGGCGCACCTTAATTATTTTCACTTTTAGGAATGCAAACCATTCCTGTACATCAACCTTTGCCTTCATCTCCCTGCCTTTTCCATACGCCCGAGCTCAAATTTCAATTTCAGTAGCAAAGGTATAGGTACACGCCTTGGTACAGATAAAGCAGGCAGCTTTCATCGAGAGAAATATGATATTTAACATCTTATTGCCCTAGCATGCGAAATAGATAAGGATGCTTCTGATGACAAAATTAGTTGAATTTAACTGAGATTCTTTATATCAGGCCTCCCTAATAATATTATTGCGTTTTATTCAATTTTGGTTTGCCTAACAGACAAATAAACAGCTACATATTGTTGCGCTCGAATTTGATTGTTTACTTTTTCGCTGTTTTTCGTCATTGTTACGCATTTTTCGAGAGTTAGGTTTTGTTAAAGCGGTAGTTCTTGCGACAAATTCTATCTCAATTCCAATCTGTTATTTGCACACTTTCATATCAGGTGTAAAGTCACAGCTGTCCGCTAACTCATAGAATGATCTAATGAAAGTTTCTACTGTTTCATCTGACTTTGATTTCTCTTACGGAATTCAGCTTGTTCGTGAATGATGTTTTTCTTTAGATGTAAATATTCGTCGACTTTTGTATAGACAGTGTCATATGAGCCGCGTCACGATAAAAACCAACATAATGGGTTTGCGACCAGCATGGATCCAGACCAGCCTGCGCATTCGCGCAGTCTGATCAGGATCCATGCTCTTTGCTTACAAACCCTCTAGCAAGTAGAGAAACTGATAGCGAACAGCATGGATCCTGATCAGACTGCGCGGATGCGCAGGCTGGTCTGGATCCATGCTGGTCGCAAACGAACTATGTTGGTTTTGTCATGACGCGGCTCATATATCTTCGCGTTATTTTCTAAAATAGTATTTTCTGATAGTTCAAAAGATGTAACAAATTGTTAGCTTCCTTTCCCATTGTTTATATCAGTGTATTATGGAGTTTTGATGCTGTTCTAAGGAAAGAAATTTGTGTTTCCATTTATTAAATTGAATATACTTTAAGTTTTTATTTTAACAACGAATAAACGTATATGTTTACATGTTAAAACATTCTATGAAAAGCCTTTAAAAGAGACAAGTATACACCGAGTTAAACCTACGTGACAAGCATATCACATTACACAATATGAATTGCCCTTAAAGATTAAAAATAAATATAAACAAATAAATAACAATAAGCAAATATTAAAATATTTTTATTATTTTCATGAACTATAGAATTGAATTTCTTCAAGAATTCAATATGTCAATTAAGATAAAACGTAAGCGACGTTAAAGGTTGTTCATGCCGGTATTCATAAACACTTATCAATAATCTGCACATCAAAATAATGTGAACATCAAATTTGGATTGGTATCATGTGTAGGTAACCACTAAGCATATTCTCCGGTTTTCTCATTATAACATGACTGTATATTCGTAATTTACATGCTCACCCAAATAATCATTGTTTATAGACTAATATTATCTGCCTGGCTAATCAACTGCGCAGTGAACAGACAATATGTTTGGTTGTTAAACTTATTGATATATTCGAATACATTTTGACAGCTATTTACATAATCAACTACGCCCGATTCTCTACTACCAACAAATATATAACGGCTAATAGAATCTTCCTTTTACAATACGTAAACCTAATTCCTTACAAAGATCCAATAATAATAAACCATTATTGTTTAAGCGTCCTTTATCTTGCAAGGTCCGCTGGAAGAACATTCATCTATGCAATTGATACATAGGGATAACATCGTATATAAAGCACTGATAATATCTATAATTTGTAACCTCAAAAACATGTTTCAATTTTCAGTTTACCGCCAAAGGTACTCGTGAACAAGCTTGTCTAAAGACTGAGAAAAAAAATGCTGAGTTTCAATTTTCAGTTTTCCGCCAAAGGTACTCGTGAACAAGCTTGTCTAAAGACTGCTTATATATGTTTCAAGGTGATTGTTTGTTCATTTATTGTATTATTTCATGTCGGTATACATGCATCATAATATGGAAGTTAAAACACGGACTCAGAGAACAAAAGGAACACAGAATTCTTATAAATGGAAGGACGAAATTCGAAAATTGTATGCTGGATTGGAAAAACTTGCACGACTTGACGAATTTGAAGAAGATCAAAAGATTGTTAAAAAGATTTATGCGGATTTTGAAAGGTTTTTCGAAGGAGGTGGATCGGCTAAACGGATTAAGTACAAATTTCGGCTTTTGTTTGATAAAGATATACTCGAGGGCACATTTACTGACGAACATAGAGCTATATCATTGCTGCAGAAACAGGAGGACAGTCCAATTAATGGCGATACCATTTTGTTTCGAGCAATGTCAATCAATGTAGAATCTGAAGAGGGAATAACAACTCTTGACGAGATCATCAATTTACTAATACAGAAATGTCCAGAGCTGATTGTGTTTCCAAAAAGCAATGTTGGTTATGCAGGTATAACACCAGTCCATCTTGCAATTCTAAAAGAAAATGTAAGCATCTTAGAGTCCATGTGTAACAGTTTGCAATATATCCATGAGTCTAGACTCCCAAGAGAAAAAATTCAGGGCCTATGTGCTTCTGGACCAATTTTTCAAGCTTCTCCGATGATGGCAGGGACACCCCTAGGTGTTGCAGCTCTTAAATTTAATGAACCCATTTTCAAGCTCACGCTTAAACATTTCAGTCCCGGTTTAGATGTTACGAATGACAAAGGAGACACTATTTTACATTCACTCATCAAGTATGCATGCGTACAGCCGGAGAAACTCGATGATATTCAGAGAATGTTTAGCTATGTTTTACAGTGCAAATTTGACAGTGATATCTCTGATGACAATGAAAAACGGGAACATAAAAAACAGGCACGCAAACTTCTTATGTTGACAAACAAAGAAAAATTAAATGCGATGCAACTGGCTGCAAAAAGACAACAGTTTAAAATATTTGAAAACATTATGAAGAGCGAGGTAAGAGATATGGTTTTTTTACTAGAAAACGACAATTATTATCCATTTTCCTGTTTCGTTGAGTTTAATGTCGGACCAAAAAATAGGTTATATGACTACTTTTAGCTTAACTGGGGATAATGACTTTACGTGCCAATTTATGCACTAGTTTTGGTACAAACGGGCACCTAAGTAGAACCAACGACGCTCCGTCAGCTAGGTGGATAGATTTCTCAATTAAAGATTCAGAAAACGCTGGCGCGGCTCGAACCCAGCGGTGAGGGGCAATTGGTTGGCAGTCAACGAACTTAAGCACTCGGTCAAAGACGCCCCATACATTTTCTGGCTATACTTTTACAGTTTTTACATTCAATTTCAATAATGCGAAATTTATAAGATTTTTTTGTTTCTGATCAGTTTGGTTTACAATGTATTTATCTGTATTTTTCTGGACAAAACTAGACAAAATGATAATTGATTAAATCATGTGATATCAAAAAGGAAATATGAGAACAAATTAAATGGTAAGATATGGATCGAGAGCTTTGAAACTGCTTACGAAGAGTAAAGCTATGTTACAGATATTCTTTGAACATTTCTTGGCTTTGAAACACCAGCGTATAATGAGTTGTTCTTTCTTATATTGAATATCATCCACTTTCTATAGTCTCTTTATAACTTACCTAAATTTACAGATTTACCATTCAAGAGAATCAGGCGATGGCCTTTTCAATGAAGAAGTGTATGATATAACAGAAATAGAAACGCTGAACATCATTGAAGAGGTCGATGAGAACGACAATGAAGATCTGAAACCAGACCACCACGAGTCAATTATGGAGTACATAGTCCACCAGGAAACAAACACCGCCTTTCTTTTTGTCGATTTCATTCCCGTACAAGACGTGATTCGAGAGAAATGGAAGTCATACAAGAGTCGGTTTATTGGATGGTTTATTCTCCATCTTATTTTCATGTCCCTATTATCTGTTGCTTCTGTATACAGATCTAAACTATCCGGACCTGTATCAATAAACAAACAGGCTGATTTTGCATACATCGTTACTAGAAATGCATTCGTAACTGTAGTTTCCGTATTTGGATCACTATTAGGTTTAGTATACCTTGTCATGGAGATAGCGCGACTGTCCTATTCACGTTTTCAATATCGGACATCAAGGGTTTTCATTAAACGATTTTTCCGGCATTTCAATACGCCATATTCAAATATGATTTTTAGAATATATTTTGGCCTTTTTTCTCTTCTGCTGATCATAGATTGCGTTCTTGCTTCAACTGAAGCCTCTGGCTCCTTTTCAGGATATGAAAATTATTGCCTGATATTTGCTGTGATTATTGGCTGGTATTTAGTCATGTTCTTTCTGCAAACATTTAGGGCATTTAGCATATTTACTGTCTTGATACAGAAAGCAATTTTAGATATGCTTAAATTTGCTTTAGTTATGACTTTCTTTCTCGTGGCATTCTCTGTAGCCATGTACATGATAATGCAAGGGGCGAATACAGAGGAAGACGACTTCCATAACTTTAGTACAACAATGCTTAAAATGCTGACCATCATGCTTGGCCTTGGAGAACTTGGAATTTTGTTTCAAGCCCGACATCCTTATCTAGCAATTTTTGTTTTTGTTCTGTTTGTCTTGCTTACAACAATTCTCCTCCTAAACGCCTTGATCGCCATGATGTCAAATTCTTGCACAGATCTTATGAATAATTATGGAGGATTGGTCGCGGCAAAGCTTCACTGTCGTCTGCAAAAGTTGTCAGTTATTTTGTTTCTTGAAGGATTCTTTCCCCGGGGCTTATGTAAAGAGGTTGGTATTAAGAAAAAGAAACATAGATATGTCAGTAATGAATGGACGAATAACAAACAGAGGCGATTATGGGTTAGGAGCTCAGTACACCACCATAACATGACAGAAACTGATAAAAATCCCGATCATCTTCTGTATCAGCAAAAAGACCTACATAACGTATACGTGTTGTTAAAGAAATTTATAAAACCAAGTATAAATGGTGAACGAAATAACATTGTGGAGCCAACAACCTCACCATTTACCTTGACGACACTTACACCATCGAAAGGAAACATGGAAAGCGTTGATATTACTGTCAATGACAGGAATGTTTATGATGATAAACAAAACAATATACTTTTGAAATCGGTTGATATTCCAGAGGTTGAGTAAATACATCGTTAAATAGCCAAGATTATATTCAATAAAAGTATTTGTGCTAAGTATTTTGTAGTGTTTAATCGTTGTACTTCTGTAGAAATAACAAAATCATTAAGGTATTTTAGCATAGACCTCGTATATGACAAACTGAATTTCTGATTACTTCTTGATTAGATTCTAGAAAAATAGTTTTGTTAGTGAATGAAAGCATCATTCAGTTTAAAAGTGATTTTTTCGTGTGTGTGTGTGTGTGTGTGTGTGTATGTGCGTGCGCGCGCGTGCGTGCGTGTGTGCGTGCGTGCTTTTTATCTATGCAGTAAACACTTCAAAGGGTTTCCAAAGGGTTAATGATGATATCATTAGTCAGATATTTAATGCATACTTTAAGGTGTATAATTATTTAAAGATTTTCTGACTGATATAAGATTTATCTTTTGAAGTATTTCTTATGATTTTTTGTATAAACATGTTCGGCATTCACTGATATATATACTTATGCATATCATAAGAAATTATTTCATATGAATAACTTGTGTGTGTATATTATTTTGCATGTTTTATTCGTGGAAATAGTTACCTTGTTCATGTGCAAACATTAATGGAGATTCAAATTTAATTCTTCATAAATACTTCTTGACTATTATTGGGTTAGACTAAAACATCTTAAGGTAATTGCATGTTGGTAATGTATTGCATAGTTTTGTTTAATTTATTTTCAAACGGCTTATAACATTTGTTACACCATATGATTCTTGAAGTAATCAAACTATGTTTGTCAATACATGTATAACATGACAAATGATCATAAGAAAGTCGCCTTATAAATTATCAAATAGAAAGGGATAATTTCAATGTCTTTGTCAAAAAATACAAGATTTAAACAAACATGACTATATAGTTATAAGTGTATGAATACTTCTATTTCAATGTCCACTTATAACAAATATATTTTAAACTTAATAGCAAGACGCTTTATGACAGTCGATGTAATTTCGTAGTTTTTTATGCTTGAAAAGTCAATTTAAGGTATTTAATAATGACACAACGAATAGTTGCAACGATTTTATTTCACTAACAGATACTTATGATAAGGTTTTTCTATAGATTTTATTGAAGATTTTATTTGCTTGAGACACCAAAATAAAAGATATAAAAGAAATTATGACCGACGTTAAAATAGAAAAAAATATATCCTTTGATCTTTTCGCAGAAATGGGGTGTATTATACATTGTGGTAATTATAATTAGAAGACTATTTAAAATATTTGGCACCCGGCAGATCGATAATACATCAGTGACCATAATAATGGAAATCTGTCGATTTGTGGCGACTTAAGAATATTTATATTATTTAAATCATAGTTGCATGTTTATCGTTATTATTAGTTTGTTGATGTTTTTCTATCTTTTTATTTTATCACTTTTTTTTGTTGCTTTTGTTTTGTAGTTGATTTTTTATTAGGAATGCATGTTGCTATTCTTTATATCATTAATGAAACGGTTTCTAACTTCGGTAACTATGGTAAACTCTGAACATAATGACTTTTCATAATTTTGAAAACAAAACATTCTTAAAGTATGGTGTATGAGAAAGGCATGTCAAGGTCTATTGAATAAATCGATATTTCAGACTTCATTCATATTTATCTTATATTATGTTATTCATTATTGAGTAAAAAGATACGATTTTGTCGAAGAACATTCTGAGATTTCATGAAGTGACAAAATAAAGAAATAAATGCTCAAATTATTGTTTGTTTTACATTTTATGCTTCCTGATGCATCTATATTAGGAGTTTATACAGTTCAGTTGTATAAGATATATTTTGTCATGGAAATTCAATTGTTCAAGAACTTGGCGCTAAAGTAATACAAAATGCTGACGGGATATACGGGAAAATATAGACTAAATGGATAAATATGACCCGAAGAATCAGCATTTGTATAGTTTAATCTCAAAATGATAAACAGTAACGTTATACTAACGATTTAAATTAAAATACTTATTTAAGCGCTAACAGTCCGATTACAGAAGATGAACACGACATGTCACGTTGTCACATTCTGCATTAATATAAAATGTGCGCCACAATGTCCGTACATGCATTTATTCCGTAACGTTGAATGGAATTCTACAAAAGTTATCTTTTTATACAAACAATTGCTAATTATCATTATCAAATGTCCACAAAATTGGAACAATTCACATTAAGTTCAGTTAATATAATACATGTAGTGTGCCTTTATTGTTACTTTCAGTAGACTCTACGCAATGCGTTGTATCTTTAAGATATAAGCTGTTATCACCGAGTATAAAAAAGACATTGTGTAATTATCAAAATATTTTTTATTAGACGATTAACTTGATTTATGTATTTTTATTATTATTTAAGTAATTTATGTACTGCTAACGTTAGAATTCTGCAATAATTTATAAAATTTATTTATTAAATATTCTGAATTTATAAAAATGCATTTGGGTATTTTTGTCAAACTTGTTTGGATGTCATAGTATTCAAGTGAAATAATAAATCATTATTATTATTTTTATTTTATTCATTTATTTATTTATTCATTTATTATTAATTATTTTTGTTATTTAGATCTATCTTCAAAAATGTAAATTTTACAAGGCAGGCGTATATATATTCTGCCTTCAAATTGTAGTCACTTAGCCGGAAGTTATTTAAAACCAACAAATCTAGTCTTTTTTCTAGCCTTTTCTTTAATTTTAGCCACTTAGACGGAAAGAATAGAGGTGAAGTTATTTAAAACCAACAAAACTAGTCTTTTTCTAATTTTCATGCTTAATTAATATTATTTGTTTTAATTTAATTTGTTTTAAAGATATTCACCTGAGATACTAAACGTATGCTAATCAATGCATTAAGACACCAATGTCTTGTCTAATAAGCCGTGAAGTCACAGCAGGTGGTAGAGGATAGAACTATGCAGTGCGATAGTGTCTGCCTTGAGTATCTAGCACCTTTAGTTTAAAAAAAATAATTACCGAGATTATATTATACGTCGATTACACGTTCGCCTCATTAAGAAACAAAAATATTTTAATGTTTTCTTCAATATTATCATCTTACACTAATTGTGAGGTCATGTCAGTGGTGATATAATATTACGTAAGATTATATATGCTTTTTAAGTCATTCTCCATTTCTGATCACATTAACGTACAATCTATATCGTTTATCAGCATTTACATTGTTTCTTTACCTTTTATTTGATATTTGAAACCCCGATTTGTGCATTTTTGTTTAAAAGAAGCCACTATTTGAGCTGTTTTTGTCGGGTTGTTTTTACATGCCAAATCACTGTTCGAAACATGAAGATCGTCTTGATTAGATATCTTATTTAATGCCCTACATTTGCATACAGTTTCCACGAAAAAGGTCAAGAACGTGTTCCTAAAATTTGTTATTGTAATAGACATACCAGGTAGTTAATTATGATTTAGAGGTAATGAGCTCGGTCATTAATGCTCTATCGGACATGTTCTGGTTTTGAAATATGTTAACTATGAATAAATATTGCGTTACTATTACGGTGAATGTCAGATAATGTCAGATAATGAACTTTACTTTCAATGTGACACGTTAGTGCCATTCCATGAAAAGCGGCATATGGCACCATGTTAGAAATGCGTGTGCCCTAAACGTGAGAACAATAGGCGGAACTAAATCAAATGTAATTTTGAAAGGGGATCAGAGGTTATGAAGTCTGCATATCACAGAAAGGCTGTCAAAAGACAAGGTCGGTTAAAAAGCAGGCCATATATCCTAAGGGTGATTCAATAATATTGATGTAATTAAACTTGATATACATGTATCTAGAGTCGATATTTGACTTGCTTGTATTTAATCATTTATTTAAACCATTTAACAATTCTTTCATAAAAAGTCAAACACATGACACAGAAATACTAGCCTATCATTTACGGGCCTCTTTCATTACCTCTTGATATTTATTCTGCTTGATTTGTTCAATTATCATAACTTATCACTGGCCTGGTATAATTGGAATTTTGTTCTTCCAAGAAAACAAAAGAATATACATTTTGTATATGATTTTCTCTTTTTTAATGTATCTGATGTTTATAACATGCAGACATCTTCCGAAAATCATAATTTGGATAATTTAATTGATATTTTGACATGTGGACTGTTTCTTCATTTCTTGCAAAATTGTCTTTGTAAGTAACAGTTAAAAAAACATGTCAACAGTTCACAGCCTGATCAGACTGAACGGCTGACGTTGATGTATACTGGTGGCAAAGGCTCATCAGCTCATCAAATAGCAATAATATTGATTCATTTGTTCCTTTTTGAGTATGTTTTGATATAATTGCTGTCAATAATAAAAAAAAATACAAAAAAATACAGCTTGATCATCAAATTATCATATACATAATCATATACGTTATCCTCAATTCTCATTGGCCTATCTTTTAAACAAATAGGCAATAGGTAAATCTGTTAAAACGTGAGTCAAGAACAATTAAAGCAGTATCAATATTAAGCATGTCTTTCACAACATTCAACTAAATATATTATAACAAGCCGTCTGGAAAGTCCACCTGCTCAACTGGCGTGTATATTTGGTCATCATCTAAGACGTTTTATATTATTTCTAAGAATAGCGTTTGACCTGGTGAAAGTGTTACTTGGTTAAATGATAATCTTGAATTTGCTGGTGATATCAAATGCTGCCTCAATAGAGAGACATTTTCCGAGTCTTAATCAGAAAAACTTTTCAGTTGATCAGCCATCTTATCAGTTTAAATTGCAATAGTAACTGGACCTGAATTTCACTATAGTCTTATTATTGACCCACTCATTATTTTATATCGACCTTTACTTCTCTTGGCACCGATCTCTTTATATAAATAAATAAAAGCCGGGGAAAGAATCCTTTAGGAATCAAAATCTTGCCGAAGACAGTGAAGCTTTGCAGCAACCGATCCTACATAGTTATTTATAAGATCTGTGCAAGTATTTGAAATGATAGCGACCAACGCATTGAGAAGAAGAATTGTTGTAAGCAAGACAAACACAACAAAACAAAAATTTGCTAGATAAGGGTGTCGAGCTTCAAACAAAATTCCAAGTTCTCCAAGGCCAAGCATGATGGTCAACATTTCAAGCATGGTTGTACTAAAGTATTTGAATTCGTCTTCCTCTGTATCCGCCCCTTGCATTATCATTTACATTGCTACAGAGAGAGTCACGAGAAAGAAAGCCATAACTAAAGCAAATTTAAGCATATCTAAAACTGCTTTCTGTATCAAGACAGTAAATATGTTAAATGCCTTATATGTTTGCAGAAAGAACATGACTAAATACCAGCCAATAATCACAGCAAAGGTAAGGCATAATTTTCATATTCGAAGTGAGGTTAACGGCTTTAGATGAAGCAAGAATGAAATATTAGATCAACAGAAGGGAAACGAGGCCAATAGACCTCCCTTATAGGTAAAATATCAATGAAACGAAAGCCAACGTTTGTTTCCTTGTGCACAAGATACTCTAAAACTGTCTCATGGTAGTCTTGTTTAAAATGTTGATATTCGTTCCCGTTTATCTTTCCGATCATATTCAGAGTTTCTATTTCTGTGATGTCATAAACTTCTTCTTTGAAAATATCGTCTCCATAGTCTGTTGAACAGTAAACCTTTAAATAAGATACCAAATATTTTTATTTAATTAGAAAGTTTTTAGTAGGAAAATGATACAACCCTTCACTTAATTTTCTATCTTTTTATGCCTTTGAAGATAAAGAAAAGAAAATGAATGGAGCCGTGCTGAATGCCCAAAACGGTAAAAGGTTGCAGATCATTCGGTTTCATTGGTTGAATTGATTGTTCGTAGGTGACATTAGAAATTTACCATCCACGCCTCCTAGCAACAACTTAAGGTAAGATCCCCCTATAAATGGATTACCTCCGTATTGAAGAGTATTCAAATAGACTAGAAATATTGTCAACTGCTTTGAAACTAAAGGGTCGTGGATTCAAACACCAAAAGAGTCATTTCTTTCTTTCTTTTCTTTTTCTTTTAACATTATTTATGTAAATCTCATATCCCTTTTGGAAAGAGAAATGGTTTAATTTTAATTATATAATTATAATAGTATCTATTGGCTAAATAATGCTTAAACGAATAAGAAATATGATACATGTACCTGATATTTTGAGAGTCTAATTTTATCAAAACTAAGGGATAGAATTATTTAATATTTTAAAGATCAACCAATATACTTTTGAGAAAAATTAGGGCAATGTTGAAAACAGCCCCTTATATGGTATTTTTAAGATTTTTTTTCATTAGGCTCTCTAAGTAGGAAAATAGCCAAACAAGTATTTATCAAAGCACAGAAGGCGCTGAATTTGTTTGGGTCTCAGATGAAAGTTGTGAGTTTATAAATCATTTTAATTTGTATAGTGCCAATAATGCTGTTTCCAGTGTTATAACTGTAGTAAACTGGCTATAAGGCTAATTGCAACACTGATATTCAATTCAATGTTTATTTGGCTTAAACAATTTAAAAAAAAAAGATACAACAAAAAAAAACACAAAAAAACAGAAGTTACTTTAAGTGGGACTTGAACCCCAGACCTCTCGCCTCCTAAACGAGACCGATACTCCTGAACCACGGGGAAGTTATAAGACAAGTGCCTGAAGCAAACCACAGTATTCTCAATTAGGGTCTGTAATCCTTATTAATTTCGAAATATTTTGTTCACGGTAAACCCGTTGTAAAACATTGGTGTAAATAATCATGGAGCTTAATATAATCATGTATATCTGTGAAATAATTTAGCAAAACATCCTCTCACATGTATATAATTTTTCACTACTCTTGGTGTAGTAAGCGCTGAAGTGTGGTTAAAATAGAGCTTTGTTGATTGAATCATCGGAAAGTCTAAATAACAAATGTTCATTTAGGCGATCACAATAATCTGAAGCTTTACGAAATAGCCGAGCAACTTTCATAGTCATCCGCGTAAAAAAAATTATTTGAATATATTACCGTAATTAGCGAAAATGTTAAAGAATCACAGAATATTAGAAATCTTCGACCAATCGTTTGAAAATTAATGCGCCTGTCATTTGACAACCTTTACGCAGTGATCTCCCCTTAATTTTTCGGCGTAAGTGTACTGATAGTAACCGCTTCGAGGAGTTCGTGACAGACTGCTTGCAGATTTTGCAAATAAGCATATCAGAGTCCGAAATTTCGCTACCATTATTTGTTTTGTCAGAAGAACCAAACAAATAAGAATTGGTTGGGGTAGGGTAACACTTTTGTGCATATTTCCATAAATTTTGTGTAGAAACAATCATTTTGCCTTGTGGATTGTTAGCAGAATGTTATTATTTGTTTCCTGACAATAATAAATGGAAAACATTTTTCATCAGGATGATATTATAGATTGTCTAGAGTTTCTTCATTTCTGAAAAGAGCGCTTCTAATAACCAAGCTACGAAAAATGTCCATAACTCGTAAACTATATGGTAAACTTTGTTTAGATTTTGCATACAGGTGAACTTTAAGGCATATAAGTAACCTAGCTATGTTGAAAATTTTACAGTTCCTTTAAGTGCCCTTTAGGGGGATCTTAACTTAAGTATAGCTAAACATTTAAACCTGAACATTGTGTGTTAGGCAAAGTTAAAAAATGTAGGCTATGTCTTTCGTCTAAGAAATAATAATGTATGGAAACTGGATAAAATTAAAACAAATGAATTCATGCTTCCGAAGCACGAGTTGATTAATTGCCCTCATCATCAGAAGACAACATGGAGCATTTGTTGTTGTTGTTGTTGTTGGCGTTTGGCAGCCAGCTGCAATTGGTTAAGTTTTCTTTCTTTGGCTTTTGATAATTAACGGCTACATGATGCGATTGCCTTCTCTATATTTACATTATTTCCGCCACTTCTAATGCAAAAGTAAATCTATTTCGGGCAATTCTCTATTAGAAAAGTTGTTATGTCCATGAGATCTTTTCGTACGAACGACTTTGTGAAGTTCATACCCTCTTTTACCATTATTTCTGCGGAACGTAAGCACATGTATTTGGTAAGGCGAAAATTCTGTTACTGTAAATTTAGTGTCATAAAATGAGTTTAGTGTCATAACATGTCAAGTCAGCAAATTCAACAATCCGGTAGGTAATAAATGATCAAGCAAAATAAAACTTAAAAAGTCAATTATTACAAAATAATTTTATTTCAAGCTTTATGATACACCGGCATATACATTTTCTGGACTTCATTATGTACCGACCTTTGAGATTGTTTCCATATGAAAAGGCGTGATTAGATAATCATAATGTAGCAATTTGTTAAAGGCACATTAAACAGTTTTACTCCAATTCTAACTCACATAGTGAAACATTCTTTTTAAAAACTGTGTCTGAAAATTTTGTATTTAAGGAAGTTTGTAGTTTAAATGTTTGTAAAAGTACAGGTCTGGATGGAATACCTGCAAGATTTTTAAAAGATGGAGCTAGCTTTCTTAAAGTACCTGTTGCCTTCATAATAAGCATGTCTGTCAGAGAAAATTTTGTCCCGGATGATTTAAAACTTGCCAGGGTGAAACCATTATATAAGAAAAATAGTACACTTGAAGTGGGCAATTATAGGCGTGTTAGTATATTAAGTATTATCTCTTAGATTTTAGAAAGAGCTGTATATAATCAATTAGAATCGTATCTTGTTAAAAATAATTTATTGTATGAACACCAATCGGGTTTCAGAAATTCACATTCTACTGATACTTGTCTTATACATTTGTTAGATCATATCAGACTGAATAATTCCAAAGGCTTATTTACTGGAATGATAATGATAGATTTGCAAAAGGCATTCGATACTGTTGATCATAATATTCTTTGTGGAAAACTTCACCTTATGGGAATTACCAATACAGACTGGTTTAGATCTTATCTTTAATAACAGAAAACAAGTAATACATATTGGAGAGGTTTCTTCATCTCCATTAATAGTAAATTGTGGTGTTCCTCAGGGAAGTATTTGAGGTCCATTGTTATTTTTATGCTATGTAAATGATATGATCACCAGTATCGATTCTGTGTGTAAGCTCATTTTATATGCTGATAACAGCACTATATTTTTTTTTCTCATCATGATTCTGATTTTATTTCACAAAAATCAGGTGAAGCTCTAGAATCTTGTTCAGATTAGCTGGTTGATAATAAACTGTCTCTCCACTTAGGGAAAACTGTATGAATGATTATTGGTCCAAAGAAAAAACTTAGAAAAATTAATAAGTTCAATATTATTTGTAATGGTCACACCATTGAATCTCCTAAGACAGTCAAATATCTTGGTTTAAAATTGAAAATGTTCTGTCTGAAGAAGAAATTGTTAATACAGTTATATCTAAAGTAAACACTAAGCTTAATTTTTTGTACAGAAACAGTAAATGTCAATCTTTTAACTGTAGAAAACTGCTTTGTTCTGCTTTAATCCAATGTCATTTTGACTATTCTTGTTCATCTTGGTACAAAAGTTTAAATAAAGTCTGAAAAAGAAACTGCAAGTAGCTCAAAACAAAGTCATAAGGTTTATAAAAATTACCATCCAAGAACTAGTTTAACTCCTTCTGATTTTACAGATGTTAACATGTTAAATATTGAAAATAGAGTAAAACAACTAAGACTTAATCATATGCATAAGATTTTTTAACTTTGTTCGGAATTGTCTGATATACACAAATACAACACTAGATCATTCAATTCCTCATTGTAATAAGACATGTAATGGCACTTTTTTCTATAATGGTATTAAAGATAGGAATAGTTTGCCAGATGATGTAAAATGTATATCAAATCCAACTTTATATAAAACTTCTGTTAAAAGCTGTCTTGCTTATATTTGGGCTGCGCAACATCAAAGGGATTTTTTATATTACTGAATGGCGACATATGTACGCCGAACTTTATTATATTTTTAGTCATTTTATGTTTTCCTATGGCTTTTTTCTGTGATAATACAAAACTACTGTGATAATATAGCATATAAGTGTTGAGATACCAAAATCCAGTGAGTATTTGTTCCACCTTTTTTCTGTGATAATACAAAACTACTGTGATAATATACCATATAAGTGTTAATATACCGAAATCCAGTGAGTATATTTTCTACTTGCACCTACTAAATCTATTATGAAAACCTACCTAGAAATTCTAAGATCAATAAGTAGTTTATCTCATTGTCTATTTTTATTTGAGAAATGAATGTCTCTCTGGTTCCATCTTGTTTCCACCTATTTGGTTAACAGGAACCCATTGGAAATAAGCACACCAGCTTAATGGGCTATCCTTGTAACCATAGCTCTTAACAAAACCTGGGACATATCCCAGACAAAACCATTGTATTGAAATATTATTATTATTATTATTATTATTTATTTATTTAATTTTTTTTCTTTTAAAATCTATGTTAAACTCTTTAGTTTTTATATATCATGTCTATCAGTAACTTTAAACAATATTCTGTGCTAAGTTTTATTCTGACTTGTTGTAGTCATAATCTGAAATGTGATTTTTTTCTTTTAAATAATTTTATCCAATGCCTCATCTGATTTCAGTCATTAACTTGATAATTATTTAATTTATTATTTATATGAAATGATATTTTAATTTGTTGAACTGTTACTTTACGTATGTATATCCTTTTTATGTAACTGCATGTGATCTATGTTGTTGCAAAAATAAAATAAATAAATAAAAAGCCACGGAAATGTTTCTTTCTGTAAAAAAGGCAAACATGTGTTATTCAATGTTGTAGCATGCGAAGGTGCATATCTTTCCACTCGTTCACTTTCGCCCGAATAAGTCACTTTCGTACAAATTCAAGTCATACCGCAATTTAAGTAGCACGATAGTTACTTCCCCTTATTTTAATAACGCCGTTTACACCAACATCCTCGAGATTTTGTAAAAACGAAAATGTCAAAATTAATCCACCAAATAAATAAAGGGTTAGCCCATGAAATAATGAAAAAGATTGACAATTTTCTTTTTGATTGTGATGGTGCGTATTATGAATGATCCTTTTCTTAAAATGTTTTCTACACTTTGAAATGAAGGTCACAAACTAGGATGTATCGACGATATATTGATATCAGATGACAAATGTAGACTGTACACAGATATATCGATAATTAATGATTACTTGTCAAAAATGAGTTTTTTTCAGTTTTGTTGGAATTATTGCCCTTGACTTAGTATAAATTTGCAATTTTCAACTTGTTCATGCATAGCTCAAATACTTGACCTGTAGGCCTGAAAGTTTACAAGAATGTTGGTTAGCATGTGTACTTATGCACCTTTGGGTTCGCTTGTGGATTTATTCAGTATTTGTAAAGTTCTTGTCCTTTACTTAGTAAAACATTTAGTTTTCAACTTGTGGCACATGTAGCCCAAAAAATATTTCACCTAGAGTCATAAGATTGACAAAATAATGGAATGTGGAGGCACCCGTGTCCTATGGACACATTTCTAGTTATAACTTCAAATATTAAGTTTCCTGAAAATGGGAAAAGGGAAATAATTCTTAGAAATTAAAAGGCATCCAAAATCTTTTAATTTTGATTTGTATTGTATATAATGCTATTAAACAAAATCTTTTTATGTTGATTTGTATTATGTATAATGCTTATTATAAAACAAATCAAGTTAGAAAGAAACATATTAAATATTTTTCTAAAAATATTATTTTTATGTTAAATGACTATTCTAAAATATTGTTCTTTTTTCATACAATTATGATGTACCTTGTTTATAAATGCATGATTTTTTGATCATATTTTGTCATCACTGCTAAGAAAAAATTCTATATTTTATTAGAAATGCACTTGGTTAAAAGTATTAAATTGATATACTAAAAAAGACTAAATGTTAAACTTTAAGTGTTAAAAATTGAGTACCACTTAAACCAGTGCTAGGGGGCATGAGAGATGTTGCATTATTTCATTATAATTCCTCATGTACAAACTCAATCAAACCAAGTCTGCAATTTTCATGTTATTTTGTTGTGATTAATTCTTCAGAGGGATCACCCTTTTTCCAGATTTTTTTTTACCTAACAGACTACCAGTTAATATGATGAAATCTCAGACTTGTTTATATATGCTGTCTATATATTTAATCATTAGGTGATAATAAATATTTGGAGAGCACTTTTTGTATGAAAAATTGAAAAAAAAGTATATAATTGTAAAATGCCTCAACTTTTAATACTTCTCTACTTACAAGGTAATGATTAAATATAACTTGAAGAATTACAGCAAATGAACTTAAGAACTACAATTAGTGTTGATTTTTACACTTCCTCTTTTGTTGGCATGCCCCATGTGGCAGCAAATAAACTGACAATCTTAACTGCATGAAAATATTTGAATATGTTGTTTTATAGAGATGGCAACATGTATTATGAAATGGTTTATTTATTATATTACAAATATTTAAAGCTAGGATTTTTTGGGTTTTTACATCATATTAATACTTTAGAGGTCATATGGTATCTTTCCAGCTTTACTTGTCAGGGCTTTTTTTCCTTCTATAGCAGGGGCCATTATAGGGCTGCTTCCCCAAAGAAAAATTCTTAAATATCATGCATGAAGGGCAGGGCTGATTCCCCAACCTGTGAAAAAGCCCTGCTTGTGGAGGAAGAACTCTGGTTCCCTACCATGCATTATTTCAGGCACTAACCTAAGTAGAACCAATGGTGTTCCATAAGCTAGCTGAATAGCACATGAAATAATCAAAAGTCTCTGGCTAATTATTGACTTTCTTACTAATTACAGGAGTACTATGGCATGGGAGTCAAGTTATACCAGGTGCTCCAGAGGCTGTGCAAAAATTGAAACGTTTGGTAGGTTTAGAACATATATACATTGTACTTTAATATGACAAGTAAATCTATTCAGATTTTATTTAAAGTACATTTAGGTCTACACCAATAAGTATTTAAAAATGGGCTTAAGATTATGCTTTATAATAATGGTTTGAATTACAACAGATTTTAAAATACTATGTATATTTTACCACTTGAAGCACAAAGTGCAGATTTATAAGTTAGATAACTTTTAACAGTGCAGCTATTGTATGCCTTAGTGTCTTTAATTACACTAGGAGATATGTCTAGGATCTTTTTTCTTCAATTAAACTTGAAAATTTCTACACACATGGGACTGATTTAAACAAGGTAGATGGCTTCAATTTGATTATGGAATCCGCCATTAAACTCCTACCATAGTTACGGTTACCTTATTACAGTCATGATCTGGTAGAACTACCATCAGCAAAGTATCCTGAAACCTTCCATAGAAGAAAGAATTCAACATCCCTTGTGGGATTTGAACCTCCTGCAAACTGGGCCTAGTGATTCAGTCAGGCCCTGCCATTTTTTTCCTTGAATAAACAAGAAAATTACTGGCATAATGTATATAATACTCCTGAAAGTGGTAACAATTTGTTTATTGTAATGTTACAGGAATAATAATTCATTACTGAATGATTCTGATTCATTTCAGGGGAAGAAAATATATTATGTCACAAATAACAGCAGTAAAACTAGATTGCAGATTGTTGAAAAATGTCAAAAACTTGGCTTCCCGGCTGATATGGTGAGATATTTATACTTTAACTCAAGATGAAAGCAACTCTGCTTAGGTCTAGTAGCCTAAAATCATAGAATTTAATTCTCACATCTGCTAAAAATAGATTTTTTAAACTTTTTTCTTATTCAGCCTAATCTTTTAAACCAATGTCTTATATTTGGAAGGAACATACCTCAGGTGGGCATTTAATTTTGGTGGAGTTTTAGGGGTCACTGGGTTCAAAGCCTTTTTAAGGTCAAGGTCTTGCATTTATATATATTTGAGAATTTTTATTTAAATTTTGTACACAAGATAATGGTCCATTTTACAAACATATAAATATGTCAAAAAATCTCGGTGGAGTCCCTTGAAATAGTAAGTTATTGTCTTGCCTTTATAGTTACATAACTGTCTGTTGTTTGATCAAGGTATTTTAGTATAAAATAGTTTATATTAAGCAACTAACAGTACAGATTTTCATCTGACTGCACCAGCCGCGATGACACAAAATGACAGGCTTGTGCAGGGTTGTCATGGATGGAAAATTTTATATTGATATCGAAAGCTAAATATTGTTGATATATGGATATTCAGGTTATATCAAATTCAACAGCTAGTACAGCGGAAATCATTAAAATATTTGTTTATAAACTGTTGTTATGGTGTTATGCATGCTTGTCTTGAGACGTGACAAATACAACATACATAACAAAAGTATGTTTTCTTGTATTGAATCATTTTACTTTTCTTAAAATCTCAGTATCTTTTCCCAAGTTTGATTTTCTTGATGTTCTTTGGTTCATCTTGAGACATGCTGCATTGAGTGTTTGAATTGTATATGATTATATGATACATATTTATTAGAAATGTTAATGCGTAAGGCATTATCTGCTTTTAGAGTAACTAAAATCATTCACAGTGAGTTATCTGCTGATAAGAAATGGCGTTACCTATAAAATCAATAATCATGTTTGAATAATCAATGAATTATTTCAGGAAAGCATTGTTTGTACAGCGCATGCTACAGCCCAATATCTCAAAAGCATGAACTTTGAGGGTAAAGTGTATTTGGTAGGGAACTCTAGCATGGCAGCTGAGATGGATGCACTTGGAATAAAATATGTCGGTCTTGGAGTAAGTTTTGATATCACGTTTAAAGTATCAATCCTTCAATAGCTTGTGTAGATTACACCAAGTTCATGAATTGTTTCGCTAACCTAAACCTGAGGGTGACCAGTTATGATCAATAAGTGTCTGCCGTCAGTCCACACTTAGTTCCTTGGTCACATTTTTGCCTAAATTGTCAGGAATGTTGGTCAGGATGGTCAGGATGTTGGTAATATTTTTCACACGAGTTCCAATATGATTCATCTCGGATGAAAAACTAGGTCACATGACCCAAAAAAGAAAAAAAAGTTAACATTTAGAGGCTACTGTTTCAGTCCAAATATCCTGAAATTTGTCGGATTATTTCTAGATCAAGTTCAAATATGGGTCATCCGGGGCTTAAACTAGGTCACACAGTCTAAATATAGAAAATCCTTTTTAAAGCTGTGGAGGATACCCTTTGATTCCAAGTATCTTGGAAATTGGTCAGAAATGCTGCTTTAATGATTTCTTGCTAAAGCTCAAAAATGTATCATCTGGGGTAAAAAAAAAAACTAGGTCACAGAGCCCAAATGTTATAAAGCCTTCTTAATACTATAGAGGTAACATTTTCAGACCAAATATCCTGGAAAATTGTTAAATAATTTATTCCTATGATTGCAAGCTTAAGTTTAAATATGGGTTATTGCCTTATTGGGGATAAAAAAATATGGCACACAGCCCAAATATGGAAAATCTTTGTTAACGCTTTAGAGGTAACATTTTCAGGCCAAATGATTTGGAAACTTTTTAGAAAGGTTGTTTCCTACATTCTAGCTCAAGTTAGATTATTGGTCACCTTGAGTTAAAAAAAAACAATTACAGAGCCAAATATCCTAGAAATATGCCCAAAGCTTGTTTTAAAGATTTTTAGCTCAAGTTCGGATATGGATCATCTGGTGTATAACTTTGTTAAAAGCAGTCACATTCAGGTGAGGGATATAGGGCCATTTTGGCCCTCTTGTTGATGCTATATTTAAATATTTTTCCATGTTTACATTTAAATTATTTTTTTAGAAAAAAGATGTTTTAAATGTAACAATAGAATTATTTAATAGATTTTTTCAGTACCAAAAGAAAAAGTGCATTTAAAGAATATAATATTTTACTATCAAGCTCTAAGAATAGTCGAGCGTGCTGTCCTTTCGACAGCTCTTGTTTTCAGTAACAAAAGAAAAGGCAAATTTAAAGAATACAATATTTGTTGCAGGCGGATCATGTTTCAGATGATCATGGAGGTCTTGATGACATTGTTAAATTTCAATCTGATTGGAAACCTGATCCAGAGGTATGTTATCTACCGGTATTTATTTAACCTTTAACCTGCCTGGACAGAAACTTGCGGGTTAAGTCTTTGTGATAGGCATAGAGCCATTCCAGCATGATCTGCTGTGATTAAGTCTTTCTGAACTGCATAGAGCCATATCACTATGTACAAATCTAAACAGCCACTTTATAACGTGAGAAATTTGTTACTATTTGGCATAGTTAAATTTAAACTTTACATAAACTGCCATCCCCTAATGAAGCCCTTTATGATATTTCAGAATTTATATATAATGAATTTATAATAACTAAAAATTACTGTCACTTTTGTATTCCCATACTGTTTTACAGTTTTAATAACTTTTTTATTCCAGGTAAACTGTGTTGTCGTTGGTTTCGATCCTCATCACAGTTACATGAAGATGTTGAAAGCAGCAACTTACGCTAAAAATAGAAATAATCTATTTTTAGCAACAAATGAAGATCCGTTTCTGCCAACAAAAGGGGAAGTCTGTGTACCTGGTATGTTTATGTCCTTAGGAATACAATAATAATAGCTAGTGTAAGCTGGAAAGCAGTTTCCATTGTGTTGTAAATATAACCTAAGATTACTCATTAATCGACCGCATACTGTAAAATCTTTATCATTTGTTCATTTCGTAAACTGTGTTTATGGCCACGTGGTTAAGGTTGTTGACTTCAGACCACTTGCCCGTGTGCGTTGGAATCTTGACTGGGACTTTGGATTCTTTCATGTGATGAAGTTATCTATCTTTCATAGCTTACAGAATGTCGGTGATTCTACTCAGGTGCCTGTTTGTGCCTGGAATAACGCAAGTAAGGGCACCATAGGTCTTCCTGCACCAGTAAAGCTGGAAAGTCGCCATATGACATATACTGTGTTGGTGTGACGTAACCCAACAAACCAAAAAAACTTAAATTTATGGATAGGTCGGTCAGTAAACAAAATTTATTTTGTCTGCTGTATGATTCAGTCAATGAATTTAAGATTTTGAATTTACTAGCCCGAATTCCAGTTTTTAATTTATTCTACTATATATTTAACTAATTTTTCTTTAAATTTTCACTGGCCCGAACTATTTTTCACTGGCCATGGGCCACCGGGCCAGTGCTCAATTCGATGACTGATGATTGTTAATATTAATTATACAATTCGTAGTTTACTTTTATTGCAAGACCAGACAATCTATGAATTTAAGAACCCAAGAAAATATCATTTTTGACAAAACTACAAAATTTCTATTGCATGACTAACACAGTACTTAGGATGATAATTGCATATTTTGACCTGTTGTGGTTTGTAAGCGAGGTTTGCTATGTATAAATTTCTTACTTTATAATGTTTTACTTTTAAATACATTTTTCATGAAAATTAGCATGAATCTGGAGGCATGCTGCTTTAACATTGAAAATTAAAAATTGTGACCTTCTCTAGCAATGTATCAGGTGAGCCATGCAGGGTCATCATCTTGTTAGAATAATTTAAACTAATAAAGATACATATATATTACAATTTATACCTGTAGCTTATATTATGTTGATTTTTCCAGGTTTTATTTGAACAATTGTCACTGGAGCATGAATGAATTTCTGAGGCATTCAGTACTACAGAAACAATAGTGCCTTCAGTACTTTGATTAACTTGTCATAAATACTCTTGCAGGTTACTGGAAGTATTGTAGCTTCAGTTAAAATACCTCTAGAAGAGAGGCCACATGTAATAGGAAAACCTGAGACAGCTTTTCTTTTGAAAAACCC